CTCAACCTGCTGAGTGGCACTGTAAGTCACCATCACAGCCATGGGCAGGGATGTAGAATCCTAGTTGTTTTCCTCGGCCTGGAAACAGCCCTGAGTGAATAGGCTTGGTAGAGCAAACCCAAGGTGTCCATCCTTCCCTCCTGTTGCATTCATGGCACACATGAACTGGTGCTCTTCCCAGCTGAGCTCAATTTTAGCCTTAAATTTTCCAACATATTGCCCTGAATAACCTCCTAATCAGTCAAAAGTAGTAGATTAAATTTAATAGAGATCCCTACACTGGAGCAATACTTGTCAAACCAGGTTATCATCACAATAGGAGAGATTTCTAATGATTCTATCTTCTCAGGACCACCCCAGGATGGACCTTAAAAGAGAAGCTACCTTAAAATCTCCTCTAGATTCCTTAGCACACAACACTATGTCTAGGCTTCCCTCCTTCATGGGACCAGGTTGAAGAGAATGGGAGCATGGAGCATGTACTTTTCAACTTCTCCAGCGCAGGAGCCGATGACCTTGAGCAAGTAAGTCAAGCTCTGTTTCTTTACCCATAAAATAATGTAAATATAGCATAGAGGTTAAGAGTAAAGGTTCTGATGTCAGGTTGCCTGGGATTAAATCTCCCCTTCACCCCTTGGTAACCGTGTGAATTTAGACAAGTTCCTGAACTGTGATTTTATCATCTGAAAAAGTATCTACCTTAGAATTCATGTGAACTTCAGAGAAGAGGGCCTGAAAAAACTTCTCAAAAAGTGGCCTACAATTTTATAATTTTTCTATAATACCTGTCTTTCAGAGTTAAAGAGGATATATACAAGCATATGAGAAGTATCTGGCACATAGCAAAGGCCCAGAAAGTGGTAACATTGCTATTATTCGATGTGTTTTAAACAATTTTTATAAAGGGACACATTTTCTATTGTGGTAAAAAATTTAGAGCACAGTATATTCTATTACTCACCTGTATCTCATAGTGCAGAACACCCAGTACTGAGGCCAATGAGGTAGGGGCTAGCTTAGCCCCTCAGTAATTCCCATCACCTCCCTTCAAACCACGCCTAATAAACACACATACGCTGAGTAAAAACAGCTTCAAGACATATCCCTAAGCCAGCAATTTTCAACCTTTTTCGTCTCATGGCACATGTAAACTACTTACTAAAATTCTGCACCACACCAAAATATATATTACATTTTTTGCCACTCTGACAAAAAAAATAGGAATAACTTTGATTCATTCACACTGGATGGCTATTGTGTTGCCTATTGTCATTTTTTTATCTGACAATCTAAGGGAAAAGAGGTCAGTGCCCCCAACCAAATAGTCAGGTATTGCATGTTTTAAAATTCTTGAGGCACACTGGTTGAAAATCACCATTCTAAGCCATCCCTAAACCATGTCATCATTCCTTATACCTGCTGCAAACCAGCTGCCACCTCAAAGCTTCTTCCCTGTTGAAATTCTGGAGTTATCCTTAGGGGAACTGAGTATGAAAAGGTTAAACAGATATATGTGAAGGAAGCATGGAATGATGATTACACCTTTTACGCAGTTGCCCCTCCCACAGCCTCCCACTCTCAACCATCACAGTGGTACTCAAATATTAGTAAATGCAGTTTCTCTCAATGATTGGTGTGCCCGTGTGAGGAATGAAGTGCAAGGAGACCTGGTTTCCCTAAAACATGTAAAGTACCCAGGCAGGCATTGCATCTTTCATCATAAACCTCCCTAAGATCTTTTAAAGGAATTCCAACCATTACTTTTTAGAATTTTGATTATGGGGTTTGGGCACTAGCTTGCAATAGAAAACAAATTAGCATGAAGGTCCCAAAAACAGCTTTTACCAAGTTGTCTACACAATTCCCATCCTGAAAAAGTCCTTGATCTCCAAACTAGGGTGACTAAAGTCCATTGTCCCAAGAAAGTCCCCAGTCCCAAGCAAACTTGGACTCTTGGTCCCCCATAGCTAAAGCCAAGGTGAAATAAAAGCCAGCATGTATTGATTCTGAGTTCCTCTCTGATAGGTAGACACAAATATAGATATAAATACCAATCACTGGTCCCTGCTTCTCAGGTGCCTTACAGGGAGAGATGGAATTATTTTGTAATTAACACAATTCTGAAATTGGGGGGAGCCTACACTTCAATTTTACCATGGGGAACCAAGTATTTCTTGGAGCCCAGGCTTTTATAAGAGAAAATAAAAATTTTAAATGAGAAATTTCAGGAATTCAAGTCACTGAACTAGGCTACCCACCTCTTCCTTCCCGTTTGATCTTTGAAGATTAGCATCCAGTATTTTTCATGACATTTATATTGAGGAAGGAATATACGATTATTAAAAGCAGAGAAACTCAATATGGGAACGCACATCAAAAGGTCTTCAAGACAAAGGAGGGATCATATGATTTGAAACCGGAGTTACTAGAAGCATGTGTGCTGCACTTCATTTTCTAGTTAACAGCGTAACATACGTCAAAATATGATTTAAAACACATCTCACCGCTGAGCTGACATTTGGCGGTCCTCAGCCTCCTTTTGCTCTTGAGGATGGGGGTTCAAATCCAAACGAGGTTAACACTTTGTACTGGTACATATTCCTGGTGGATGCGGAAAACAGTCTTATAGTTTAAGTAAAATGAAAACATCTGTCCAAGTCCTGAGGGAAAGAATTGTGTTTAAAAAAAGAGGGGGAGGGGACTGCTTGGTTGCTAAAGCTGGAGATGGCCTCAGTAACTTTACCAGTCTTAAGCAATTACACTTGCACTTGCCTTGCTCACCTAAGATGACGAACATTTGTACATGAGCCTTAGTTCAGTCTTCATTGTTCAGGATGCCATACCTAGCTTATGCTCTAACCCTATCTAAAGCCACTAACTGGTTTCAAGCTCTTTTCACACGAAAGCGGTGACTGAGTGATTTCTGGCCACATAATTTGTCTTGGTCTGTAGCTGTGCACTCTAGGCAAAAAGCTGTATTAGTTAGCTATCGCTGTGTAACAGAATACCATAGACTTACTGTTTCAAAACAATATGGGTGCAGCATGACTGAATTTTCTGCTCAGGGCCTCAGTAGGTATTGGCCAGGTTATATTCTGATCTGGAGTTCAGGTCCTCTTCCAAACTCTTGTGGTTGTGGTAGAATTCAGTCACTTGTTTTTATAAGACTGAGGCCCTGATTCTCTTGCTGGCTGCCAGCCAGCAGCCACCCTCACCTCGAAGAGACTGGCCACGTTCCTTTGTCTTCAAAGGTAGCAACAGAGAATCTCTTTCACGTGGAATCCTTTTCACACTTTGAATTACTGACTTCAGGAAGAGCCCAGTCTCATTTAAGGCTTACCTGATTAGGTCAGGCTCACCCAAAATTATCTTTCTCTCTTAAAGTTAACTGTACCATATAACTTAATCAGAGTGAAATCCATGACATTCACAGTCCTGATGATTATGCAGGGGCTGGAGATCTTGGAGATCCTCTTAGAATCCCGCCTACCATAAAAAATTCAATGCAACATTTCTCTTTTCAATCCTCTAGGTCTATTTTTAGAGGGCAAGACTGTGAGGAAAAGCCCCCAAAAGCATATAGTAGAACTTAATTAAATCTACTCTCCACTTGAAGTTACAAAAGTAATAAAAGTTAATATCAAAATATTTGGCAGTTGGCATTTTTTGAGTTACATACAGAGTACTACAACTATATTAATAAGTGACAGAAGTTAGATAGACTTCTTAATAAATTAATAACCTAAAAGACAAAACAGAATACACATTTAGTTAACAAATATGTATTGGGCCTTTATTATGTGCCAGGCACTATTTTATGCAGCAGTGGTCCAGCCTTCTTGAGTTTTTATTTTAGTTGACAGGGGACTCAGAAAATTAACAGGTAAAAATGCAGCCAAAAAGAAATACACCAAAAATAATAAAAACATTTAAAATAGTGTGCCCAGCACATGGTAAGTGCATGTGTTGACTATCACTTAACTCTGGGCAATGACTGAGTGCTTAGCAGGCATAATTTTTTTTAAGTCTTCATAATAGGTATTATTGGCTGCATATTAATAGATGAGAAAATGTAAGCACAGGGAGGCCAAGTAACTTCTTCCAGGTTACGCAGGCTACTAAAACATAGGTATGCTGGGATTCAACCCGAACTGTGGCAAGAGGTGGAATCTGAGAAATTATTAATCGTTCTCTGTTCCTGGAGCGCTCTTCCAGAGCAACTGTGGGATTCGAAGACATAATATATGCGAACGTATTTTGAATGGTAACTTGCCATATGTGACGATATTGTTATTGATTAGCATGCACCTGTGCCTACCGGTCCCTTGTTCCCTGAGAGTTTCTGATATTCAAAGAAAAAAGAAAGGATCATTTTGGAGAGGGACTTGAGGAGGGCTGCTGCATGCTTGACCCCGGGACTTCACCCCGACCCTCTACATTAGTGAGGGGGAGTCCACTTTGGGGGGACTGAGAAGCCTGGCGTGGGGGCGGGGTGGGGGTGGACTATTGGCTGCGGAGGTTTCCGGAGGCCTGCCCCCTGTCGCTGATTGGATGAGAGGCAGTCAAGCTCCCACCTCCTTTCCCTGACTTTCCCTAGGGGTCTGTTGCTTGGCAACCGGTTCGCGTCTTCCCGCTACACGTACGCCCAGTTACGTCCGCGAGGAGGCGCGAACAATTGGCTGCCGCCGCCGGGAGCTTACGCCTCTTACGCCCCCTCCACGCAGCGACGTCGCGGGGCTGCCCCAGGTGCTTGTCCTCCTCGGCCTGGAGACCGACGCGCCGCGGCCGAGACCGTGCCTCAGTTTCCCCTCTGCGCGTCTTAGTTTGGAGGAGTCGGAGGAGGAGAGAAAGCCGCTGTTATATGCACAGCTCAGAAGCCATTGGCCTCGGGAGCACGCGGCGGTCCGCGACCCCAGGGGGCAGCTCTCTGCCGTCAGTGGCCCGGGCGTGGGAGCGCGACGCGAGGGCCCCCGCACCTGCCGCCCGGCAGCCCCCGGGAGCGAGGGGGCCGATGCCAGACCCCCTGCCGCCTGGCCATGTCCCACAGAGCTTACTTCCTGCTGCAGAGGGACTTCCAGGAGCTGAAAGAGAACAACTACGCGGTGAGTACGGGGGCCCCGAGGGTGGGTTTCGCGGGGGCAAAACTTTTAAAAAGCACTTTAATCTGTATTTATAAGGAAAACTAAGTTAAACCTAATTTGCCATTACAGGGGTGGTTGTTTAACAAATCTGCTTTGCTATAACAATCCATTTCATAGTAATAGTTACTTCATAATAATAATAAACAGTGTGGAGCGCACTGTGCTGGGTAGTACGGGGGTGGAAGCCCTGAATGTCGGGGTGCGCAGGGTTGTGGGTGACTGACAGGCGCAAGGGGCTCTCATTAGTTACAGCACCGTAAGCAGTGTTTTGTTTTACCTACCAGAAACCTAAGCCTCAGAAAGGTTCAGGAAATATTTGGCCTCAGGAGTCTGTCATAGGGTCTTCTGACTCCAAAACCCTTTGCTCATTTTTTGTTTGTTTTTTGTTTGTTTATTGATTTTAGAGACAGGAAAGGAGAGAGAAACATCGATTTTTGTGTCACTTATTTATGCATTCATTGGTTGATCCTTTTCTTAATCTTTATTTATTGGTTTGAGAGAGATGGATTTGTTGCTTCACTGATTGGTGCATTCATTGGTTGATTTCTTTTTTTTCCTCTCTGTAATTCTTTACTAAAAATACTGCTGTACACATAGAGACTGAAAACAGGATTAAAGATGAATATCTGCAAACAGTCAAATTAAGGATATAAACTTCCCATACCTTCCTGTTATAATAGAAAAAAAGCACAGAAAGGACAACCCTTGAAATCATGTAGTGTTGGTCATTTCTATTTTTTTATTTCATTTTTGTATGTGCCTTGACGGGGACGGAAACCGAAACCTTGGCGTATTGGAACGGCGCTCTAACCAACTGAACTGCCTTGCTCAAAGTCTTGTGTCCTACTACTTACTGTCTCGTGCACTTTTTGCCAACTGCTGTCACAACACAGGGATGCCTTTCCCTTATAATTTTAACACACAGGGAGGCTTTGCTCCAAATGCCACCAATGAAATTATTTCCATATTGTTTCTGCTCTACCTGAATTTTGTGGTTCACTGTTGAAGGACAGTTTCATAAAGGAGAAATGATATGTAATTATAGAGAATAAATAATAGAGGTATCTTATAATGTTTATCCAGACTAGCACCAAACATATTGAATAACCATGTGGTTGCTCAGAAATATTTATTGGGTGTATTTAGGTGTATTTTCCAGCATAATTGATAAGGTTTTCTGTGAAATACAGGGTGAGGCAAAAGTAGGGTTAGAGTTGTGAGTATGCAAAAAACAAAATTTATTCTTGTATTATTATTTCTTAATTATACATTATTTTCCATACAAACAACTGTAAACTTACTTTTACCCCACTCTGTGCATTCTTGTCCCTCTATTGGGACAATACCTCAACTGTAGGGAAATTTATTTTTTACATAAGCATAATTTTGGGGTTGTGTTTTCTGAAAATGTTGTGACTTCATGCCTTCCACGTAGCATCCATATATACCTTTAAAAAGCTCTGAAGAGATGCATGCTTTCCAATGATTTCCTTCTCTTCTAATTTGAATCTTAAATTGGCTATTGTCATACATAAGCCACACATTCCAATCTTGACCTTCTAGTCTCACTTGTGATTTCCATGTTTATGATTTACTTTAAATTTACTACTGTGTGGAATCTATCTTAACAGCTGTGTAATAACACAAAATATAACACCTCCCCAAGTCAACAAATAAATGAATTCATCAGGAAACATAAAAGTAGTTTTTGGAATTTATTGTAACCTGATATCTGATTTTCAAAGCTACGATAAATATGGAATCTTTTTTACTGCTTTGAATCTCTTTTCAATTAAAGGGTATTTCTGCCTTTCCTGTAAGTGAAGATATGATGGAATGGGAAGCTGATATTGAAGGTCTAGAGAATACAATTTGGCATGGTATGTATTTGCAAAGCCAATCTACTTTTTAAAGAGACTTTGTACCATTATTAGTCCATCTTCATTATGTGCAAAAGAAGGTTGCATTATATAAATTTTCCAGAATTCGGAAAGTATTCACATGCTATTTTTCATTGTATGGCTTAATTTTTGCCATTTGTCAACATAGATAGAAATTTCAGGTTTAACTTTTTTTTTATGTCAGATCTTAATGTTATTACATTTTAAAGAAGCAGACACAATGAAACGGGCTCTGGAACAGTGAGTTCAGTCAATACGAGATACACAGTGAATGGGACAGGTGTTAGGGGGACAGTAATGGATGGACAACAGGCTGATAAAATAGTGGTGGGGTTAGATTGTGAGGAGTCTCTTATACTATCTAGAGGGGTCTATGCACCCTATGATCCAGTTTACTTAAGAATAAAACTCTAGGGACCTTGGGAGGGAGGCTAACCTGTAGCAGGAAATGTTAGTTTAATCAGGTTACAGTTAACCAGTACAGCATAACACTTTAGTAAAAATGTTTATCTTTATATTATAGGAATATTCTTCCAAGTGACAATTAATTTTACAGTGGAATATAATCTTGTCCCTCCAGTTGTGATATTTAGAACCATTCCTTTTCATCCAAATGGTAAGGACCGAATGAGATTTTTATTATTAGGGTCTCTGTCCCTATTACCCTTGTTCTGTATTAGTGTTTAATAATGTTTTTAAAAATATAATCACAACTTTGTTATGATTATAAAAGTAAGTATGCTTATAGGGGAAAATAGAAAAAGAAAAAAGTATCACTTTGAATCCTAATTCAGAGAGATATTACTCTCAACATTTAAGTAAATTTATTTCTTTTTTTCTATGTGTGTCTTTTTTCTACAAAGTTGGGGTATTAGATATAAAGTTTTGCATCTAGTATTTTTTTTTACTTAATATTACATAAGCTTCTGGTTGCATTATTAAACATTCTTTAAAAGATCATTTTTAATGACTGAATGATAAACATTCCTGTATTGTTCAGTATTTTAGTTGGACTAATTTTCTATGTTATAAAATATGATACACTAGCAAATTAATGTTTTAGCTAAAAATAAGTTAGATTTCTACTTTAAGCCTTACATAAAGTGTATTTCTAATTGACAAAAAAAAAATCTAAAAATTTTAAATGCTAAAAAGAAGGGAATGCAATAGAACTTTTTATGGGCTTGGTGAAAAAGCCCTTTCTAAATATGATAAAACCTAGAAAGCATGGGAAATGCATGACACATTACATATGTAAGCTTTTTAAAACTTCTCTACAGCTGACCACATTATAAACAGAGGCAAAATACATTGATATGCAAACCAAGGGAAGATATTTGCAACACATAAAACAATATCTGTAACATATAAAGAGTACATGAGAATCAATAAGAAAAGAACATACAGCAATAGAAAAATAGACAAAGACTATAAACAACTGCTTGATAGAGGAAAGGTAACAAAAATAAATGTAAAAATATGTTCAACCTCACTAGTAAGAAGAAAAATACATATTAAAACTGCCTATAAAATACATTAAAAATGCGATTCATTATTTATGTTTACAGAATATTAAAATAATTTTGGTAGAGGTGAAAAAATATGGGTACTCCGACATGATGTCCTTAGTGTGTCCTTTTGGGGAAGCAGTTTGACAGTTTCTAATAAGATATAAAATGCAAATAGCTGTAAATCCCTATAAATACCATGTTTATAAGTTATTACATAGAAATATTAGCACAAGTGTGCAAGAGTACGTTTAAAAGGTGTTTGTTCCCAATAACAATAGAAGAAGGGAAGTAATTCCAATATCCATTAATAGAGAACATTTTTAAATTGAAATATCCTATAGCTTTACATACATTGCTCTTAAACAGAACAGGAAGGATCTACTGTGGAAGTGGGAGGTGAGGACAAGGGGATCAGAATACATCTTCCCATTGTGTTTAATCCAGTAATTCCACTCCTGTGTGTTTATTTTAAGCAAATAGTAGCAAATGTACACAACTAATTTTGTATCATAAATTTAATTTTATTCTTTAAAAATAGGTCTTAATTATAAAAGTAATAATGTAGTTGGAAAAAAAAATTACATTAAAGTATATAAAGTAAAATTAGGAACAAGACAAGGGTGCCTACTCTCACCGCTTTTATTCAACATAGTATTGGAAGTTCTAGCCAGAGCAATTAGGTAAGAAAAAGAAATAAAAGGCATGCATATTGGGAAGGAAGAAGTAAAACTGTCCTTTGCAGATGGCATGATATTGTATATAAAAAACATTAATAAAGACTTCCCTCAAAAACTGTTAGAACTAATAAATTTGGTAGTTTCAGTAAGCAAAATCAATACACAAAAATCTGTTGAGTTTACATACATTAATAAAGAGGAAGGGGAAATATGGGAAAACTTGGGGTTGCTCTTCTTTCTCTCCCTCCCACCTCCCAGGAATGACTTATCTGATTGGGGAGATGTGAGAAAGAATTGGGCATGTGTGGATCAGCACTTCCTCAAAACTTTCTTTCCAATAAGCTGGACCTTAGAATGCATGCAGCCTCTGTTTCTTCAGGCAGGAAACCTAGGCAGGCCTCCAGTTGAGGGGTTAAGTTCAAATCAAAGGGGATTTTTGTGGAACTTGATTAAAGCATTGATCAGCATTCTCCATTTCAGTCTTATGTATCGTAAAGTTGATATTTTTTACTTGCATCTTTCAACACTATAGTCTATTTTATTATATACAAACCTTGGAGGAGAGGAGTATTATTAGCCCACACACACCAAGAACTGGGTGTGTACAGTTCTAAGTCTTTAATTTTTTTTTTTTTTTTAATCCTCAACTGAGGATATTTTTTCCATTGCTTTTCAGAGAGAGTGGAAAGGAAGGGGAGGAGGGAAGGAAGGAGGGGGAGAGAGAAACATAGATGGGAGAGAGAGAGACATGGATTGGTTGCCTCCTGTACACGACCCGACCAGGCATCAAACCTGAAACCTAGTTAGGTACCCTGACTGGGAAAAAAAACCCACAACCTTTTGGTGTATGGGACGATGCTTCAGCCAGCAGACCCGCCCGACTAGGGCCATACTAGAATTTGTTTCTAAATTCTCTTATTAGTACATTTTTCTGTCTAACCTCTTGTCCCACTGCGCTACTACAATTATTGTGGTTTTACAATACAATATGATATAGTATTGTAAAATCTATATCATTTCCCTTTTCAAAATTTTCTTCTCAGTGTTTACCTTTTATTGCAAGATTTTTTCTATTTGAGTATAAATGTTTTCCTTGTTCATTTATAAAAATTATTTAGACATTAATAAAAGTACCATTAATAATGATAGCTATCATTTTTTGAGCATTCATTATATACCAGGTACTCTGTTGAGTACTTTATTTTATTCATTCTTTACAGTGGAGGTGGGTACTTTAGTCATATCCCTATTTTACATATTAGGAAAGTGAGATTAGTAAGGTTAATTGCTCAACATCACATAGGGCCAACGTTCAGATCTGTGCTTCTGACCCAAAAGTCCATGCTTTTGACAGCTATACTCTATTAACTGTCATATTCATTGCAAATAATTTTTCTGTTTTGTCATTTGCTTTCTAATTTTGCCTATTTTGGTGTTCCTAAGCTTTAAATAATAATCTTATTATATATATATAACTAATAATGTATTATTTTAATACAGTAGACCAACATACTGGCCGACCCTGTATAGATTTTTTGGACAACCCTCACAAATGGAACAGAAGCTACACATTGAGCAGCATCTTGCTTACCCTCCAGGTAAGAAGAGACTAATATAAATACCCTCTTTAACTTTTTATTATCTCCTTTATTCAAAATACAAGAAATAAAACATATAATGCATATTTAAATGTTTGAAAGACTCAAGTAAGCTTATTTAAATCAATAACATTTCTACAGCCTGGCCGGGTGTGGCTCAGTGGTTGAGCATTGACCTGTGATTCAGAAGATTGCGGTTTGATACCCAGTCAGGGCACATGTCCGGGTTTTGGGTTTTGGGTTCAATCCCCAGCAGGGGGCGTGCAGGAGGCAGCCGATCAATGACTCTCTCATCGTTGATGTTTTTATCTCTGTCTCTCCCTCTCCCTTCCTCTCTTTGAAATCAATAAAGATATATTTAAAAAATAAAAATAAAATAATAATAATAACATTTCTACATCAAGTCTATAAAAATGGGAACTTGAATTATAAAGACTATTATTTTATTTTAATTTTTTAAAAATTAATTTTATTTTTGTTTAAAATATTACAGATGTCCCTTTTTCTCCCCAATGACCCGTTCCACCCCGTACGACTATTATTTTAAATTGACAACCAAGGAATACATATTTTATAAAAGAAGAACTGCTTGGATGGCTTTAATTCTAGAAATGTGGTCTTACATGTTCTTTTGGTTCCTAATTTCATCTCATAATATTGAACAGGTCTTTTAGATCTTGCCTCATACATGAACCTTGCCTCCTTCAGCAAAGTGAATTGAGTGACTACAACTTAAAATGTTCAGCTTTATCTTTTGTTTCTGACCATGCTATTTGCTCTTTTACACACTTTTTTTTTATAGTCATTTTTTATTTCTCAACTACAGTTGACATACAATATTATATTAGTTTCAGGTGTACATCCCAGTGATTAGACATTACATAACTTACCAAGGGATCATACCGATAAATCTCATACCCATCTGACACCATACGTAGTTATTAGAATATTATTGACTGTATTCCCTATGCTGTACTTTACAGACCCACGACTGTCCAGTAACAACAAATTTGTATTTCTTAATCCCTTCATCTTCTTCACCCATCCCCCCAGCCTCCTTCCTATCTGGCAACTGTCAAAATGTTCTCTGTATCTGTGAGTCTGTTTTGCTTGTTTGTCCAGTGAACAATTAAAGCAGAGGTTTTCTTCCCCCCTCAGGTAGATGCCTGTTTCTAGAACGCCCCCTTTACTTCTTGGATCCATGTTCATAGAAACATGCCTCGGTGTGGTGTGATTCTTGACCCTCAGTGAGCCTCCTTTCTCATCCATGCCAAAGTAAATGATGTCAGTGTCACCACTTATATCCAGCTCACCATTAATATCCAGAGATAAGCTGTTACATTTTTATTACCTGGAATACTTGGAGAATAAAGCATTATGGCTGAATTGAATTTTTCAGTAGCAGAATTATAATACAAATTTTATTTTTCCCATTTCTTATTTTTTAATTAAATAAAATAATAATTTTCTGTCTAGTCATCTTTGTATACTGAGTAAAATTTAATTTTTTTAACGATTCAGTGTTTTATTCATTCATTCTTTCATTCATTCATTCTACAAACATATATTGAACATCTACCTGTGCCAGCCATGTTCTAGGAGAGACATTTGAGCAAAAACTTTAAGGAAGTGAGTGAGCATGATATGCAGATAACGGGTTGATCTTTTGGATTTCTTTAAACTGGGTCATAGTCCTACCTACATCTTCCACCTAAACTAGGATCTGCCTTAAGAAAACTGAACTGTTCCAAAGTGTAATGAGCGAGGGCAAACCAGAATGAAATGGCGACAATTCTGAATTGCTGAGTAATTTAATAAAAGGTAAATTTGGGGCTCTGAGATTAGATTGCTTGGCTTCACATTCTGGTTTTGCCACTCAGCACCTTTGTACCATTGGACAAGTTTCTTCACTTCTGAATACCTCAGTTTCTTCATCAGTAAAACGGATCTGTCAGTAGCTACCCCATAGATTTGTGAGGATTAAATGAATTAATACATGTAAAATACTTGGAACCAGGGGTGGTTTAAGAAAATAACTCAATAAAAGCTAGTTAGTAGTATGATTGCTCATGCTTTTAAGCAGTAATGCAAAGTGGCGACAAAGTGTTGTCATGGAAACACATCAGGGGAAGCCAGTAGATGACAAAGTTGTTTGTCTTTTTATTTTTCAAACAGATTTATAAAGCAAATATGCCTACATGACAAGTTTTTAAGACAGTGGAAAGGAAAAGCCAGTTACTAATAATCCTAAAGAAAACCCTAATCCTGTTGTTATTAGCATTTCCTTCTGGTCTTTTCTTCTATTTTTCTGTCTAAAATCTTTCAGTTTCACATTCACTACAGGATTAAACCCAGTCCTGTTGCCTGACAAATGATTTACTTCTCCTCACACCTGGGCTTCAACATACCGTGCAGTCCCACTCCTATTATATCTTCATGCCTTTCTTCACTCACAGTGCTTGGTTCAATTCAGATTTTAAAACATTTATATAGTTCTAGACTCTAAAGTTGCAAACTCAAGCAAGTCTTGGACCTTAAAAAGTGCTCAGGCCAGTTCTCTATCTGACTAGCAACCCATTTTCTCCTTCCCTCTTCCTCAGTCTGTGTGGCAAGCAACTGCTCACATTATAAAGTTAGATCAAATAAGTGTCCCTCTGGAATGTCTTTCTTGATTTCCTTTCCTAGGTGGAATTGATGGAATTTGGATTTTGAGGGGACTTCCTTTGCCCCTTCCCCAGTGAAGTACCCTAAGCAAATTTCTATCAGAGCTCTGTGATACTGTAAATGTACATACTGTTTCCTTACCTGTCTTCCTTTATTGGACTACAAGCTCCTCAACATCAGGGAACAGGTCTGATTCATCTTTGACTCTCCCTCCACCCCAGGAAAATGTTGACATTTAGTAGGTACTAAGTAACTTGAATGAAGGAATGAACATGAATTTTTACATTGTTGCATTTAGGGCATCTATGTATAGATTATATATAGCCTATTTCTTTTTCACTTAACATTTTATCTCAAGTAATTTCCATATTGCTGCAGTTAATATTTTGATGGCTGCTTAATACTTCTTTCAAGGTCAGTGTGGCCCAATAGAACTTTCTGCACAGATGGAAATATCCATTATCCACACTGTCCAATATAGTAGCCACTAGTCAAGTGTGGTTACTGAGCACTTGAAAAGTGGCTAGTGTCAGTGAGGAACTGAGTTTTTCATTTTATTTTAAGTAATTGAAATTGAAATTACCACATGTGGCTTGAGAGTACTATAATGGACAGTACAAGTATAGACCATAATTTCTGATTACTTCCATTTGAATAATAGATGAGACACATTTATAATTATCACATTGTTATTATTCAAGGGAGTCATACTTGAAATGGTGTTTAAAATATTTTAACATACAAATATATTAATCATCTCCTAAAATTTTTATAATCTAATTTTTTCAGACACTTAAATATATAATACAAAGGAAATATCAACACCTATCCACAGAATGAATTAATTTCTGGCTCTAACTAATTGAATATTATAAAATATGCTTCCTGGTGCAGTTGTTTACTGATGCTTCAAATTTTTGTACTTACCCTCTGCAGAGTTTCCTGTTATTTATACTATCACATGGCTAAATTAAAAGTTGGACTTCTATTTTTTTTTTAGCAGTTTAGCAGGGCTTCTGATTTATACATTTTAATATATTTCTTATATTCCAGTTCTTAAAAATCATTAAATAGACTTAGTAGCATGTGTACACATTATGTGAAAAGGTCTTAGGCACGGTGTCAATGTGAAAACTATTGAATAAACTTTACCAGATGTTCCTCTCTGCATAAAATTATCTTTCCTGCCAAAGACCTAAAACTTGCTCTAGAAGATAAGTTTCATCTGCTTCCCACCCACTTTGAAAGGTAGAGTGCAGTCCACGTTGCATCCTTATTTAAGCAATTATAATATTCTTGGAAATGTAGCTCAAATGTGTTTTCCAAATACGAAAACTCAAAGAGCAGAAAGTTCTTGTTGCTTTTGAAATATCAGATGTCAAATTATTACTTTCGTTAGTGAAAGATTGCCATCACTTCCATGACTCTTAAGTCACAATGATACACTTTGACCTGCATCTACACTTAGGCATCCTGTTAGTTATATATTTTGGCTACATTTTATTATATAGTTTCAATGTTGTAGTATTCAAAATGCCAAAGTATTGAATGAATATTTGTAATTTGAGCCAATATTAATTTTGAGTTGCCAGATAAACAAGGTCATGGTCTGGCAGAACCATTAAGTTTTGGTTACTACTGGTCCCCTATTTCGTCCAGATGTGCATATATTATGGTAGGCAGAATTTTAAAGATATCAAACACTAATCTAGATAGTTCTGTGAAAGGACTTTGCAGATGGATTTAAGGTTACTATTCAACGGACCTTAAAATCGGAAGGTTATCCTGGGTTATGCAGGGGTCCTAAAGTAATCACATAAACCCTTAACAATAGAAGAGGGAGGCAGAAGAGTCACTCAGAGAAATATGGTGGGAAAAGGAGAAGGGATGTGGCAGGAGGGGACATCACAGAAATTCCAAGCATGAGAGATTTTTCACACCTTTGCTGCCTCTGAGATATAAGGGTCCAAGTAAGGCCCTGCATGAGACCTCTTGGAGTTAAAGTTGGCCCCCAGCTAACAGCCAGCAAAGAAGCACAGACCTCAGTTCTACAAATGCAAGACACTGAATTCAGTTGACATACAACCTGTATGCGCTTCGAAGTAGATTCTTTCTGAATCTCTGATAAGAGCTTAGTCAGCCATCACCTTGATTTCAGTCTTATTCTATCTGGAAAAGAGAAATCACCCTTTCACCCAGTCACCCCAGATTTCCCACCTGCAGACATGTAAGATAATAAATTTGTGTTGTTTTAATCTGGTAACTGTGTGGTAATTTGTTACAGCAGCAATAGAAAACTACTACAGATACTGCCCTGGCCAGGTGGCTCAGTTGGTTGGAGTGTCCTCTCATACACCAAAAGGTTACAGGTTCAATTCCCAGCAAGGGCACATACCGAGGTTGGGGGTTTGATCCCCAGCCAAAGCGCATATGGGAGGCAACCGATTGATGTTTCTCTCTCATATCAATATTTCTCTCTCTCCCTCCCTCTCTTTCTCTCTCTCTAAAAATCAATGAAAGCTCCTGGCCAGTGTGGCTCAGCGGATTGAGCATCTTCCCATGCAGTAGGAGGGCACCATTTCGATTCCTGGTCAGGACACATGCCTGGGTTGCAGGCTCGATCCCCAGTTGGGGGCATGCAAGAGGCAGCCCATATATGTGTTTCTCTGTCACATCAACGTTTCTGTCTCCCTCTCCCACTCCCTTTCCCTCTCTCTCGAAATCAATAAAAACAAATTTAAAAATTTTTAAATAAAAATAAATGAAAGCATATCCTCTGGTGAGGTTTTAAAAAAAGAAAGCTACTATAAATACCAAATTAATCATTTGACTATCTAGAGGGTTAATGAAGTATACACAAGCCTTAATACATAATTTTGTTTTATCTGTGATCTAAATACAATCTCATGTTCAAAGGTAAAGTTTTACTTTTTAATGAAAATGTTTCAGTGTTTCCTAATGTTTAGTTCCCTTTACACATAAATCCAATTTGAATTTATATGATGGGAAGTAATAAGTTATAGGAAGGAACTTGTAACTTGTTTTGATCCTAATGTTTGGTTCATGAATGTACAGTATAAAACTAAGGTCAAATTCAATAAGTGATTTTTGGAAAATTGGAAAGATACATGCAAAAAATGAAACTAGACCACCCTTTTACACCATATAAAAAATAAACTCAAAATAGATTAAAGGCTTAAATGAAAACTCGAAACCATAAACCTCCTAGAAGAAAAGATAAGCAATAAACTCTCTGACATTTCTCTCAGCAATATGTTTTTCTGCTATATCTCCTCAGGCAAGGGAAATAAAAGATAAAATAAACAAATGGGACTACATCAAACTAAAAAGTTTTTGCAAAGGAAACCATCAACAAAACTAAGACAACCTACTGAATGGGAGAGCATATCTACCAATGATACATCCGATAAGGAATTAATATCCAAAATTTGTAAAAAACTCCAACAACTCAATACCAAAAATAAACAATACAATTAAAAAATGGTCAGAGGACATAAATAGACAGTTCTCCAAAGAGGACATACAGATGGCCAATAGACATATGAAAAGATGTTCAGTGTTACTAATTCTCAGAGAAATGCAAATCAAAGCCACAATGAGAGATCACTTCATACCTGTCAAGAATGGCTAGAGTCAATAAATCAATAAACAGTAAGTGTTGGCTAGGATGCGAAGGAAAAGGAATACTCATGTACTGTTGGTGGGATTGCAGATTGGTGCAGCCACTAGGAAAACAGTATGGAGGTTCCTCAGAAAATAAAATGGAACTGCCTTATGATGCAGAGATTTCACTTCTGAGTATATGTTTTAAAAAACCCAAAGCACTAATCTGAAAAAATATATGCACCCCTATGTTCACTGCAGCATTATTTACAATAGCCAACATATAGAGGCAATCCAGGTGTCCATCAATAGATGATTGGATAAAAAAGAGGTGGTACATATATACAATGGAATATTACTTGGCCATAAAAAAGAATGAAATCTTACCATGTGCGACAGCATGTATGGACCTAGAGAGTATCATGCTAAGTGAAATAGATCAGATAGAGAAAGACAAATACCATATGATTTCACTTATATGCTGAATCTAAAGAACAAAATAAGTGAACAAACAAAACAGAAACAGACTCATAGGTACAGAAAACAAACCGAGGGTTGCCAGAGGGAGAGGGGCTGGGAGACTGGGTGAAAAAGGTGAAGGGACTGAGAAGTACTAATTGGGGATGTATGGTAAAGCATAGAGAATATAGTCAATAATATTGTAATAACTGTGTATGGTGTCTTGAAATATCGGGGGATCAATTTATAAGTTACATGACTGTCTAACCACTATGCTGTACACCTGAAGCTAATATAAAATAATATTGAATGTCAACTATAATTTAAAAATAAAATTAACAAAAAAGCCAAGATCAAGAGCTTCTTGAGAGTAGAGACCCTGTCTCATTTGTGTTTGTGTCATCTTCAGGTAGATATATGATAGGCATTTAAGAAATGCTTCTTGAATGTTGTACTTATTGATTGGTCTTTTTGCTTTAAGAAAAAATTTACTTTAAGAAAAATTTTGTTCTTTATTTTTTTCTTATAGGTTATGCTTTCTAATCCAGTGCTAGAAAACCCAGTGAATTTGGAAGCAGCCCACGTTCTGACTGAACATGAATCTATGTACAGAGAGATAGTTCAAGCACTTTTCCATGAACCATTACAATGTAAGAAGTGCTTGCTTATTATTTGCCAATTATTAATTATATATTTATAGCAAATCAGTGATCTAGCAAATAACTTCATTTGAAAGAATATTTTCTGTCTTTTCAGTAATGAAATTGTACTAAGATCTCTCCTACTGTACCTCTTTGTCAAGCCAATTAGTGTGATCTTTTTTTTAAAGATTATCACAGATTGTCGGCTTAGTATCTTTAAATGTTATGGCTGTACGGATCAGTGGTGCCAATTGAAACTAGTCTACCCGTCATAAAATATGACATCTAATTTTCACTCTTTGATCTGTAATGGATATTTCCCAGATTTCACCTGCTGCAAGATCTTACTGATCTGGGATCCCTTTCCTCTTGATTAGCAAAATGCTTAGCTTTTTTTTTCTTTCTGGAGAGTACACACACACACACACACACACACACCACGCCCCCAAGTATTCCTTCTAAGTATCCATGTGAAATGGTACCTGAGATTCTTCTGTCTTTCTCTCTATTGGCCAGTGTTTTTCTGATTACCCTTGGTCTCCTCCTGCCAGTTCACTCCATCACCTTCATTGTTCCTGTCTCTCTTGGCAGTTAGCCGAACAATGCTGTTGGTTCCTTATGCCCAGAAGGGTTTGCCACAAGTGAGGGTTGGGCCCTAGTGACATAATTATTTCCTTTATATCCTGCCCCTCCTCTTCCCGCGGGCACAACAGTGCATAGTAGCTGGTATCATTACCTCTTTAGTCCTCAGGCCCTGCTGTTCAGACTCATCCTGCTGTTCATACTTACCTCTCATGCTTTCTCTCTCAGATGTCCATTCTCGCTTTTCCCAGTCCCTTTCTAGAACCTGCTAGGCCATTGGCTAGGTCTGTACAGTCGTGATCAAGTTCAAGTGCTCCTGCACAGGGCTTCTGGGTCTGATGCAAATCCAGCAGCTTTGACCAGGCATCTTTTTTCAGTCTCTTCAAACATGTTGTGATTGCCTTGGGGTTTCTCATACATTCTCTGACAGTTTCAAGGTTGGTTTGTACACAGAGGAGTCATATTGCTTTACTCCGGCCACACATGTAACCTACCAGAATACTGTAGCATCCACTGCTGTATCCTCTGTACTCAGTAGTTATTTGTGGATTGAATGACTAAAGGATATATATCACTTAACCTTTCATTGAGCCCCACAGAACTGTCGTTAGAAAGAAAGATTCTGTAGCAAAGCTATGTCCATATTCTGGTAAATGGAAATTTAAAAGCTGGTCTTAAAGACTTTTCTACAACAGATGAATCTGTGCAGTAGATTTTGTATTTGCCCTGCAGAGAGAAAGGATGAAAGAAAATGGAACAGAAATTGGCCCTTCCTTTTGTCTTTCTGTCCGGTAGGCGTCAGCCTTCACTCCTTCAACTTTGCCATCAAACCACACAAAAAAAGCTGCCCAAATTGCCAGATCACCCAGCAAGTGAGCAACAAAACAGATACTACTTTGACAGGTTTGGGCTACATTCTTTAGTTACACTGGTGAAATATGTGGCAATCCAGGACAGCATCGAGTTATCAGCTCGCCTAGGGTACCACCAAGAGAGTGACTTTTTGCAGCTTCATAGGGGAAAGGGGAAGAGTGCTGTGATACAGCAGATAGCTGCCCTGGCTGGAAAATGAAGACAAGCAGAAAACTCTAAATTAGGTGGTATATAGTGCTACATGGGTTTCTGTGAAAGCCTGCATCCAGTGAGAATCAATTACCTGTGATAACTTGAAAAAAGGTCTCTACTACAGTGCTACAGGAATGGTCTCTCATATATGTTTAATATGTTCAAAAATAGATCTAGAAAATGCATAGAAGGAATTATATTTTTAGATAACCCAAAACTGGAACAGATAGTTAATTGTATAAATGAGAAACTGAGGAGGCAGCTAATTGTATCATCCCTGTAGGCACCAGTTATAGGCTAGAACTACATCCTCAGTACCTGATGCAGTGTCTGGTTGTAGGTATTAAATAAAAATTTGTAGAGTGAATGAATGAAAAAATACGCATAAACTTAGATCCTGATTTTACGTCATAGTTCACAAAGTGCTTTCACGTATGTTTGCTCATCTGGTCCCCAGCCTCTTCTTCAGTGAGGAAGCCAAGGATCAAGGAATGAAGCCCAGGGCCACGGAGGGCAAGCTGCAGAGCCACCGCTCCAACCTGGGCCTTCCCACTGCCCCTGCCCCTCCAAGTTTCATGGGATGAGCGTAGTCATTCGTTTAGGATCAAAGAATTAAATTTTCCAAGCACAGAATGGAAGAGACCCAACTTGATAGCAGAACTCTCTTCTAAGAGAAAATTTTGAGGGAGCTTTTTGATCACAAGCTTAATATGAACCAATAATAGAAGGTGCCCTTTTACTCAGCATGATTTAGATGATAATTTTACCCTATTCTGGTTGGGTGGGCCCTTATCTGAAATACCAGCATGCTCGATTTCGAACATCACATTTCCCAGGGCTGAGGGAACTGTATATGTTTAGTTTGTAGGAGAAAAGGCAGTTGTAAAAACTGTTTTCAAATATTTGAAGGGATTTCCTATAGAAAAGGGAAATGTCTTCACTGTTGTTCCGGAAAACTAAAGTAAGACTAATGTTGAAGCTGTGAGTCAGTCACCCCCTCACGAGGCCTGCTAACTTGTAGCCACTGAAGTCCCGAAGAGGCAGGCTTGGCCCCGCCTTATTCCAGAACATACCTTTAATACATTGCGAACTTTTTCTTCGTGATCAGGGGTCTGAAATTAATTTTGAAGCCTGAGCCAGACATGCAAATGCCTCCCATTCCCCAAACTTTCCCTATCGCGTTGTCTGCCTCGCCTGCAGAGCTAGTTCTTTGCCTCAGTACATTGACAAGAACGCACCAAGCTCTGAGCTCAAGCCCAATTAATTGGTGGAAGTCCCGGTGACCTTCCCATATCCTGACAGCCTCTTTTGGGGCCTGGAACCTGTCTCCCTTATTTACAGGCAGGGTGCTCAAATACACCAGACTGCCTGAGACAGTCCTGGTATAATTATTTCTAATATCCCCTTTCATTCTGTGTTTCAGTTTGGACAATAAATTGTGTAGTCAGTTGGGTGCCTAACTGATCTTTTCTAGAAGCAAATAGCACCATAGTTTACCAACCCTAATGGTAAAGTTCACCCAGGTCCCAGCTGGCCAAACACGAAGAGGAATTTTCTAACAATCCAAATTGCCTAAGAGTGGATAAGGCCCCAGTGGCAAGTAGTAAAAAGTCCCTATCACCAAAGGTGTGCTTTTATAACTAGAGTTCATTTAGGAGAGTTTAATGGCTATTTTTCAGGGATGTTGTCAAAGAGCTTCTTGCTCAATGTCCGGAGTCGGAAAAGGTCTTCAGGTACCTTCCAACCTCTACTTCAGTTTGTTTATGAAACTTGGAGGAGAGAGGAGAAAAGTCTAGAAGGAGATGATATATAGCAATTATTTTGCCACCTAGATTCTGAGTATCACTGTTTACTTTCTAATTTGTTACAAAGGGATTTCACATAAACTCTTAAATCCTGTTTCTCCCCAGTCTGTCTTAGCAGATATTTACTTCTATGTGGTTATATGGTTAAATAATATTTATCTTCTGTTTATCATGTTTGTTTGATATTTTAAAACATAGGGTTCCTATAATTTAAAAAGATCTTTGGTTGAAAGAAAACAAGAGTATAAAAATAGTATAACTGAGTAGTTGTAGTCAAGCCTGAGGTAATCATTTTTCTCTTGGCCAGGTATATATTCCTGTAGCTTTTGTTTTTTGGTTTTTAAAAAAAACATATCTTTATTGATTTCAGAGAGAGGAAAGGAGGGGGAGAGAGAGAGATAGAAACATCAATGATGAGAGAGTCATTGATCGAGCCCCCAACAGGGCATGTGCCCTGACCGGGAATCAAACCCCGATCACCTGGATCGTACATCGGTGCTCAACCTCTGAGCCACGCCTGGCTGGGCTTCCTGTAGCTTTTGTTAAATAAAGGAGGGCCATGCTAATAAGTTTCAGTTACTTGTTTAAATAAACTATAATATAATAACTGACAGATCTGATGACAGAGTCATAATACAAGAATAGAGAAGAATTATAGAAATATTAGGAAGAGTATACTAACATACATTATATACTTTTTTACAAACCTGTTAATTGTGCAAATACATTTCATTCTTTTTGTGGTTATGAAGATGTGATAAGCGTTTGGTTTTTCTTTAATTCAAGCTCCAGTTCGTTCATTGTTTTTTGTTTTGTTTTGTTTTAATCCTCATAGCAATAGACCAATTTTTAAAGAAAATTATTTCTACAGTTGAAGCAGGTAATGTCTCAGAATTGCAGGTTTGGGTTTGTTTTCTTTTTAGAGGGAGTACTTGGTGGTGGTGGTGTGTTGCTATGTGTAGGAACCCCCTTCCCTTGGGTGAAAATACCTTCTGGGTGTCAAAGGAAAAGGGAATTTAGTCCAGTCGCATAGCTTCCTCGTTGACGAGCACGAGCTTTTTAGCAGCACCATTCAGACCCTATTCTGTTGATGATTTGGGGATTGTGACAGCTATCCTGTTCCTTATAGGTGTCAGGAGATGTGGAAAACCTGAGTGTAACAGGATTGTGTGTGTGGATCTACTTGCTGGAGTTACAAACTTTTTTCCCTGTTTGTATTTCATTGCACCAGATAGTCCAGTAACTTTTTAGCCAAGTCTCCAAATTGCTTGTTTTAACTGAAAAAGTGTTAAGTTTTTCTTTTCTATCAAAGAAATACATGTTCATAGCTTTAAAGAGCATATAACATGAACCGGTTTTTATTGACTTATAGCAGACCTCGGAAGCCCACACTTTTCATCGCTGAGCGCCTCCCCCACCCCCACAAGGTACCAACACCTTTCAACACATTTAGCTCTTTTTTCCAGAATTTACCATTATAGTTCTAGGTTTATTCTATGCTGGGGTTTCCAGTTTTAGATATTACTTATAGACTTCTCCTGAAATAGAAAGATTTAGCTTTAATACTGCCGTAACCACCCACATTGCCCCCTGTTTTCCTAATATAGTTTGGTTACATTAATACGACTTAGTAAAATATTTGTCACAGATGAGCCATGAATGATTGTTTTTCTTTTCTTATACAGATGACCCAGTTTTTCACTCCCTTGTTTGTTTTTATATATCTGTCCTCTCTTCTTTCCCTAAACTCTCTGACAAAGCTGTAAAACAACTCCTAGACATTGAATCAGGTGCTTTCCCTTGGAGGCATCTTTCCTGTGACCCCTCCTTCCTGCGATTCTCAGCTGGCAGCTCTCAGGGCCTGGGAGGACCCCGCTGCCTGCCTTTCGGACTGGAGCTCCCAACTGAGCCCCTATTTCCTCTTGGCGGGCTTGCCCCGTCGTTCTGTTGGGGCACATCTTCCAGGAGCCTCCTAGTCCATGAGAGCTGAATCTCTTCTGACTTTGTCTGAAAACATCTTTATTTCATTCTAATATAATCAAAATTTGGTTAAATTTTAGTTGGGAAACGATTTTCTCTCAGAATTGTAAAGACCCTGTTGCCTTCTTGTTTCTGGTGTTGCTCTTAAGAAACCTGACTTCATTCAGATGTCCAGTTCCTCACACGTGATATCTTTTCTTTCTGGAAGCTTTTATTTTTTTGTTTTTATTTTTGAATGTGTTTTATTTTTCCTATCACCATTTATCCCCTCTTTGCCCTCTTCCACCTCCCCGCCCCCCACCGCCAGTCACCACACTGTTGCCTTCATGGAAGCTTTCAGCATCTTCTCTTCATTCCCAGTGACGTGTGATCTCTTGATAATGTTTCTTGGGGTCGGTTTTTTGTTTGTTTTTTCCTCCACATTCAAACGTAGGGCATTTGATGGGCTGTGTAAATCTCATTTTAAAAACTCTAATCCTTTAGTTCTGGAAATATTTCATAAGTAATTTCTTTTATATTTATTTCCCCCTTGTTTTCTCTGTTCTTCCTTTTAAATATGCAGATATTTGGATGTGCAATCTACTGATCTGATCCTCAAATTTTAAAAAAAATCTATGTTCTTCTATTTTCCATGTCTTTGTTTTTTTGTTCTGTATTCTTGAAAACTTCCAGAAAAGTATGTTTCTATTTTCTTTTCTCCCTGCTTATTTGTTTTGGTGGTTATCTTTCATGATACTGACTTTATTCAAATGTCTAGTCATCTTTGACTGTTCATATGATGGGCATGTGATGAATGGAAATCAATCATTAAAACAATGGGAAGTATTTAAATACAGACTGGACTTGTTGACTGCTTAGGTTCACTATAGGGTTGTTCAGTGGAGGATACCAGTAGCTATCACTAGTTAGGCTTCATGCCATGAGTTAGGCTTGACTGTTTCCCCTGAGACAAATCCTCCGTTTTGTTTCTGGAGAGAGATACTATCTGCTTACACTCTGGGAGGTGGACAAGGGCAGAGAGCAGGAATCTTATCTATTCAATATGATTTATCTGATTTATTCACTGCTTTCAGTCCCTTACCATACTCCTGTTCTGCTTTGTGTCTAGTCTACTCCAGTCTTGAGTCTCCCTGACTCAGTTTCTCCAGAGAGTAAACCTCCTTCCTCCTAGCTGGGCACTGGTGAGCATCTGGGTGCACAGGATGAGGGCATCAATCTTGGGTGACTGTGCTGTGTCTCTCACCTTCCCCAGGCATCTGGCACCTCCAATTTCTGAATTGTTTCTCAAGTTCCAAAGCGTAACTTGCTTTTATTGGCTTCCCCTCATCATGTAGTCAAATTTCAGATTCTATGAGTTGCTAAGACAGTTACCCCTTGACATCGGCTTTTCATCGTGAAAAATTTTCTTGCCATTTTTCTTTTGCTCTTCTTAAGCTTTTATACCTTATTTTTATTCCTTTATTAGTATTTTATTGAGGCTTCAGAAAGAGTGCACCTGAAGCCATGTATTCAGTCTTCCCAGTAAACCAGAATCTTTTCTCTTTTTTTTCACAGTGAAAGATGACAGCCCTGAGTTATCTAAAGACTCAGATAAACTTATCAGGTAAGTTTTTCTTCATACAATTTGATCTCAAATTATTTACTAAAAGGACTGTTTATTTAAGCTATTTACATTGTCTCTCATAGTTGAATTACTTTTTTAAGTCAGAAAAGGAAGTAGATATCTTTCCTCCTACCATACATTTTTTTAAATGTTTTCAGAAGGAACCTGTAAAATTGGTGAATTTTTTCTAGACTATTGAATTAATAGTGAATGTAACTATATGAACTTGCCTATTCTTTTAATTTTTACATTTTATTGTTGAAAAGAAAAAGCATGTTGTGAACATACAGAGCGCAAGCCATTCATTATACATAGCAAAGATCCAAGCAATTTAGGAGAAGATAGGTTCTAGAGGAAAATGGTGAGTTAGGGCTGAAGCCTTTGTACCTTTTGGAGACAACGTGACAGTGTGGCATCAATTTAGCCTTGAACACATGAACAAGGTATAGGTCAGTATTTTCATATATGGTTCTGCAGCATTAGTTTCTTGAGCAAGTCCATCAGCCTTTATTTGTCAATCAGATATAGAAAACAGTCAGTTAACTAGTGTTGAAATAATGTTTGCTTCAGCTCCTCAGGTTTCCTTGACTGGCCCTGAAGATGAATAAAATTAGGTGGCTTCTGTTTGAAAAAAAGTTGAAACATTGCAGGAAGGTGAGCGTGATCTAGTGAGTTGTGCACTAGGTTGAGATTCAGTAGAGGACATTGCTGCCTCTTAAACTCATCAACATGGAGAGAAGCAGCTAACCATCCGGCACAAAATAGACCTGTGATGAATAGTTGTTGAATGCATATACACTATTTTATGACCTGTAAAACATGAGTGGCCCTAGAATAGCACAAAATTTTTTCTATCTGTGGTATAATTTTTTGTATTCCATAAAGCTACAGTGCCAGAATTTACTAATATGGCAGTAAGAACAGACCATGAGAACTTCTCTGGCCCCAGCTTCAGCAGATCCTCTGAGCCAACCCAAGGATAAATGAAGCCAGAATCAGGTCTTATTTTTGGTGTTTACCCAGTGCTAGCCTGAAATCACTAGCGACATCTCTAGAACTCAGTTGAAGCAATGCAATCTAGATTCCAGTGTTGCTCTAGTACGTACCAGGCCACGATTTATTATATTTGTTATGTAGCTATGAATTCTGATATTTACTAACCCTGGTATCTATGGGACAGGGCTCATTTCTGTCTAGCCTTTGGTTTTTATAATGACAGCATTCGCGATGAGGTCTTGTAGAAATTATTCCGAGAGAGGAGTTGCTCTTTGCATTCTCAGGCTGGCATTGCAGGCTAGAACTTTATCCTGAGCTGAGAGAACTGACTTGGCTACAGAAATGGATTCCAGAGGCATAACCAGGCAATTGAAGCCCTGTTTTCAAAAGACATAAAACTTAGGCGAAGTCTACGCAACTGGGTAGAAAGAATCCAGTTGATGTTCAGTAATTGAAGGTGACTTAAGCTCATGATTGTCGTCTGGGAGGTCTGCCCATGGGCTGTAGGATACCAGTTTGATAGGATATGGGGCAGCCTCTGGGAGAGCAGATGTTTATTCATTTATTTAAAATGCAGACACTGCTTTCCAGTTCTGGGGATGAACAACTGAATAATATGTGATCTCTGACCTCACAAGATTGATACTCTAAAATTGGAAACTCTCCTCTAAAGAGGAGACAGTTCTGATGACAGGAGTATACAGTTTGGAGTCTGGAAGAATGATTTAACTACAACTTTAGTCAGAAGTGACTGAAGAATCATGGTGAGATAAATTTAGAGATGGTGTTGTCTTGGAAAATCAAGATTTGTGAAATTGAAAGGGGGGAAAAAAGGGAGTGAAAAATTGGGAGAGAGTGAGGTCTTACAGGGACACTGGCATTCTAGGCAGCGGGGATAACTAGTGCAGACCCTAAATGGCCTGTGAGCACTGTGTGTTAGAGGATCAGGAGAAGGCTGCTGGGGCTGGGACACAGCGAGGGAAAGAGGACGGGGTAGGCAGCGAGGTGAGAGCAGTAGGCAGGGCTGTGTCATTTAGGGCTTTATAAACCAGGTAAGGAATTGGGATTTGAGTAGCCTTGCAGTGGGAATTGGAGCACAGTTGGACAGCTTTAAAGAAGGGGAAAGACACAATCAGATTTACATCTTAAAAGGACTGTTTTAGCTGCCTTGTGGAGAACATATTGTGAAAAATCTAAGGTGGAAGCAAAGAGAAGAATCATTAGGTCACTTGAGTAGACCGGGGAGAGATGATGGTGGTTTGGGCTAGGGTTGAGGGCATGGATGTGGAGAGGGAGAGAAGGTGGATTTCAGGCTTGGTTTGATTAGGTGTAGGGTATGAGAGAAAAGTGGAATTAAGAATTATTACTAGATTTTGGTTTGAACTAGGTGGCTATTACTGTCATTTACTGAGGTGGTCGGGGGGAGGGTAGGATGGGAGAGCACACCACTGTGTACAACAGCTACCCCAGTTGATGGTGAGGATGCAGAGTCACTGCAGCTCCCGCATCGCTGTACGCGTGCTTGCACCATTTGACATGCCCAAAGTCCGTGTGGAACACAGGTTAGCAATTCTCATAGCATCGAACATTCTCCTACCCTGTGATCCAGTAATTCCACTCCTAAATATTTACCTAAGAGAAATTAAAACATATATTACAAAAAGATTTGTACACAAATGTTCATAGGAGCTTTATTCATAATGTCTCAAACTGGAGACAACTAAAATGTCCATTAACACCGCTGAATATATAAATAAATTGTGTTATATTCATGAATGGAATACTGTCAGCAATAAAAATGAATGAAGTGTTGATACATGCAACAGCATGGAATAGTAATGCAGACATTTTTTGAGCGTGAAAAAGACCAGAGTATATGATTCAATTTATGTGAAGTTTTAAGACAAAATGAATCTATAGTGATAGAAATGAGATCAGTGATTGCCCTAAGTGTCAAGGGAGAGTCTCTGACTGGGAAGGGGCAGTAGGGAACTTTCTGGAGTAATGAAAATATTCTATATCTTGTTTGGGCTTATGGTTATACAGATGTAGTCTTTTGTCAAAAGTCATCAATCTGTATGCTTAAAATCTGCATTCTACTGATTGAAAATTATACTTTATTTTTAAAAAATAGCCAACTACCTTTACAACTCTTTTATAAATCTAAAGTTATTTCCAAAAAAAATTTTTTTTTGAAAAAAGGTATTAAAACTTTTTTCAGTGAATAGAGAAAATAGGTATACTTTCAAACTTCCAAATCCTAGTTCTAGAATATGAGATTATTAAAAGAAAGGAAAATTATAGATCACTATCTCTCACAAATACAGATGCATACGTCTTATCAAAATATTAGCAAATTGGATCCAATGATACATAAAAAATGATAATACATCATGACTAAGTGAGCTTGATTTCCAGAAAACCAGGTTGGTTAAATTTGAAAATCAATCAGTGTAACTCACCACATCAACCAAATAAAGGGGGAAAAACATGAAATGATCTCAATAAATCCAAAAAACCTATTTGCTAAAATTTAACACCCATTCATGATCAAAATAATTCTCAGCTAACTAGGAATGAAAGAGAATTTCCCTATTGTAATAACCCCATACTTAAAGGTGAAATATTGAATGCTTTTCCTCCTGAGTTTAGGAACAAGACAAGTCTGTCCAGTATCACCACTTCTATTTAACAGTATACTGGAGGTCCTAGCCAGTGAAGAGAGGCAAAGAAAAGAAATAAAATTATGAAGTTTGGAAAGAATGAAATAAATTATCTTTATTTATTTCATATATAACAGGATTATTTAACATATAACAGGATTATATAACATATAACAGGATTATTTACATAGTGAAATCCAAATGAATGGACAAAGGTTGAAAATTAGTAAGTGGATTCAGAAACAACCCTGGATACAAGGTGAACACTAAAAAAATCAACTATGTTTTTATATACTGGCAATCAACACATAGAAACTGATATTTTAAAAACACCATAACAACAGCAAAATTTAACAAAGATGACTAAGACAACTATACTGAAAACTACAAAATAAACCTGAGGGAAATTTTTAAAGACCTAAAGAAATAGAGATATACAATGTTTATGACTGGGAAGGAGTCAATATTATTATCATGCCAATTCTTCCCAAATTAATATATAGATTCAATTCAGTCTCAATCAGAATCTCAGCAGTATTTTTTCTGGAAATTAACAAGGTGATTCTAAAATGTATCTAGAAATGCAAGGGATTTAGAATAATAATAAGGCAATGCTGAAGAACAAAGAGGATTGACACTCTTAGATATCAAGATGTACTAGAATGTTAGAATACATTTCACTCTGATTGGATCTTTTTAGGTCAGGTTCCTGTCCTTAAACTAGTTACCATTGTTGGACAGCCCTAAGGTCATAAATTCATCAGGCCCTGACTTAGAGCCAGGGGCGGAGTCAATTCCATCAAGCTGAATGGCATATACACAGCGGGAAAAGAACAAACTAGTTATTGGAGAGGCAACCACCCTGTCCACTGTGACAACCTTCATATACATAATGTTTTCATTGGACCAAAACTTTGATAAGTAAGAGTTTGACAGCACAGAGAGCTAGACCTGCTCGCACAGATACAGAAGGGTAATATTACAGTGCCCTCAAGGTCATCATTAAGTTCCTCCTGATGGTGCCTCTGGATGTGCAAATGGATGGTGGAAGCAAAGGTTGGAAATGGCTTGATGATGAAGAACATTGAGTTCTATCTGAAAGAGTTCAGATTTCATCCTGTAGAATTAGGAAATCAAACTTGTTTTCAAACAGACTGAGATAGAAAAACAGGAAGCTGTTTAGAGTTTGCAGGAAAGGAACAACTAGGTACCTGTCTGAGTCAGTTCAGGAGACCAGCTGACACTGAGGGCTGAGGGGTGCTAAACCCCCTTCTTTGCTCTTTCCATCGATGATTTCACTGAATGCTCACAAGAAACGCCGGAGAAATTCTCTCTCTTAGTTTTATAGGTGAGGAAACAGGAGTGGAGGGGTTAGGAAATTTTCCCAGCGTCGCACAGCTCATAAGTCACAGTGCCAGAGCGTTTTCACCCAGGCCAGGTGAGTCCAGAGCCTGTGCTCTTAATCATGATACTACATGACTAAATATCCAGAGACACATAGGGCAACGTTGAATCATGAGGCTTTGTTATAGCTGGGACTTTGCTTCCCTGAAATATCACTACCTCGGTTCTCTCTTCCCGTTAACTATCCTTTTACTTTCTTCGCTGACTCCTCTTAGCTAGGAATTGGTTTCTGCTCTTTCTTTTCTAAACACTTAATTACTCTTTTGGAGTTTGTTTTCCCTAATGGCGTCATCTATCAACCTTTATGTTGATTTGACCCAAATCTCTTATTTCCAGTCTCAATTTCTCAACCACACTCCTAAAGGTCACCACCTAAAACCTGTGTTTAAAATTAAACTCATATTTTACTTCAGTTTCTCTAGACACTTTCTATTAATAGCAAAACTAACTGGTCTTCCGGGCTTTAGGAGAATATTTGACCCTCACATTCCTTCACCTTTCACACCCTATCAGGCAATCAGTCCAGCCAGTTCTTTACCAGGGATTCTTCTCCTCCCCTTCTTAATCTTTGCTCTCTGTATCTCTTGCCTGAATTATTACGTTTTGTTTCTTAACTTGTCCCCCAGCATTTAATTTCCCATAGAATCCACCCTGCATACTAATGCCAGGAAAAACTCTTACATACTGATTTCATAATTTGCTTGCCTTATTGGAAAACTTCTGATTGCTCTCTATCACCTAATAAATCAAGATTACTGAGTCAACTCTAATCCGTTCTCTGCCTAAATCTGAAGACCCTGCACTGCCCAGTTTCCCTTATTTTATCAAATTCCAACGCCTCTGGAATTGGAACTCTCCACTCTAGTCGATTATCTTGTTACCGTCCTCTCTTTCCCCAGCATCCTCTGTGTGCACACATGCACACACCGTGCTCCTTCCCATCTGAGCTATTTATTGCTAATAATGTTTCCCTGGCCTAAAATGCTTCTTTACTTGGTTCCAGGGCCACATCCCACTTGACTCTTTCCCTAATGCCTCCCAAACAAAGTTGTATCTCCCTATTTTGACTTTTTCTGCTTACTGCCATTGCCAAGTAAGTATCTGTCATTATAGTCTCCAAATGTCCATGTTAAATGATGTAACACTTTGTGATGTTAACATGTAAAGCTATTCTATTTACTAGTACAGGTAGACATCTTATTTTCCCCAATAATGGGGTCTGATGTTCAGTTTAAAATCACGTCTTCTACTTTTTCATATTCGTAATGCTCAATAAAGTCCTGTTCCTGGTTGAAACTATAAACATATGTATTTTTTATACTGCACATATCCCTGTAAACTTAGCAGTTTATCTGAATGGCAGTAAAATCGTTACTGTCCTCTTATGTTAAGGGGCTGTTTCCTTTACAGAAGTGAAAATGCAAATATTCCCAAATGTTTAAGACATTCTGCTCTGTATACTCAAACTATACTAACGTTATACCTTTTAGGGCAATATTTTTAATTATTCTGGGGGAAGAAAAGAAAGCCCCCGAAGGCCAACAGTTTGAAATTGAACAGGACACTGTTGGGAAGGGGGAGGGTCAGGGGTCGTAGTCAAACAGACAAAAAACAATGGAGACGATTGTGCCTGAAGATGGTGTATTTTTTTTCACGAGACAGTGTGTTGACAGTTTCCTTCCTCTTGGGTCATTGTTGTCTGCTAAATGATCTGTGACAGCAAATTGATCACAAGCTTTTTCATGCAGGAGATATAATGCAGCCTTTCATTTTGTTACCTCCGTTGCCAAATGCCGAAACGTTTCTTTGGGAAATTAATGTTAGTTTAGTATATCATTTAGTAGTGGAAAGCACTGCATGGAGCTCTGGAAGCAATAATAGCAGTGATTAATTTATCTCCACCAAGTTTCAGATTTCTACTTACGTGCGATTGCAAAAGCAATAACACATTTGAAAAATGTTAGTCTTAAAGTGAGGTGTCTGCAATTATCATTTAAATAAATTAATGTGTTAACACATTTAGATATTGCCCCATTTGTTTTAAAAATTGAATCAAATGTTTACCTTAAGGCACCTATAAAAATTAATGCTGGTAGACTTGTTCTAACGGAAAAGTTACTTCTTCCTCCAAAGAGCTAGGAACTTAAAATGGAACACAGACAAGTTCTTTTACATTTGATGTTGAAACACCTAAGCCAGTCAATTGGTGATTTCATATATCTGAAAAATATCCCAACGTTTTGTTTGTAGAATGTTGAGAATCTCTGCACTCAAAAGGTTTGTAGGAAAAGAAAAAAATTGGAAAGGCAGTTCTTTAAGAGACTATTTCACAGTTCCTGTTTAATACTTTATAACAACCTTTGCTTTCCCATTAGGACATAGTAATGTTAGCACAGGAAAGGGAAAATGCAGGCTGGAATAGTAGAAGAGAGTTTTTTCCTCTTTAAAAATGTCCAAATTCGGTGTCAAAATTAAACTAGTCTCAATTCTGGTGTTTCATTTCTGCTCATAATAAAAAAGAAATAAAGGTGATTTTACTAAAATATGGCCTAGAAATTTAAGAAAATTACTTATTGTAGAAAGAACATGTATAGGTATGATCCTGTCCTTAAAGTTCTTTTTTAGTTAGCAATGAATGGCAGGTAACTTAAACCTGTATTTTTTTTTTTTTATAATATACACACAGGTGTACATTTACATCTACTATTGAAAAGTTATTTGGACTGCTTTTCTTTTTTGTAATTTGTGTGTATTAGTGGAGGAATTAATGTGTTAGATTTGTCAGAAACTGCAAATCAGTTTAATGCTTTGTGACAAGATATTGTTATATGAAGCAGTCCACTCTGATAATTTTAAAAAGAAAACTTGCAAACTACTCATTGTCTGATTTTAATTTATATTTTCAGGTCAATTAAAATTTCATTTGACGATTACTTCAAGACCTGGTCTGAAATAGCTACATCAAAAGCTGCAGAATGTTACAGGACTCCATGTAAGGTGGCCTAGTCTTACCCTGTGTCCTTTCTGTGTATATTAACCTCTTAATTATTCTCAGCTTGTCTTGCTCTAAAAGACTAATTGACATATATTTGCAATTTGAAGGTGATAAACTTCTCTGTTTGCTCTATATGCTAATCATCAACTTAATTTAGTTCCTCTTTTGTATAGCACTTTGGACTGAAGTCTGATTAAAAGCTGGAAGGAAAGATAGGCAATTGGAGGAATAAAAGATGAAGTTCTCAGTCTTATGAGGTTTACTTTACTCCCTTCACCCCAGAAAGAAGCCTTCATAGCTGGAGGAACCTTTTTGATTCTAAACACTATTAATCCAAAAAGCCAGAGGAAGTAGTAAGTAGAAAGACAGAAAAGGAAAAAAAAACCTAAAAGCAACCATATAAACTTAAGACTTTCAATTATATCAACTTAAGGCAAAATTGGTTGCCATCATACATGAGGAATTAAAAAGTGAGGGGAGAGCTGGACAACTTTTGTTTCCCATTTAATCAAATCTTTAGAGTACTATTTCATTATCTGGGTCAAAGTAGGTTATCCAGTCTACACACTCTTACCGCACTGTGATTCTGCTTCAGCTGTTCTGCCGAGTGGTGCATTCTGAAGTTCCCTGTGACTTCCTAATTCCCAGATTCAGTGACTGTTTCTTTTAGTCTTTATGTTGCACTCTCATCAGCTGTGCTGTCCTTGTATTAGATGACACCATGTATGCATCTATGGTTCTCCTCCTCCCTCACATAGTAATCCTCTGCCTCTTTCCTTAGAAAAACTTCCTTGTTCAGCCCCCTCTACCCATTTTCTCTAAGAGCCCTCACCCACCACCCTGGTCTTCATTAGCCTGCCTTCCAGTAATTCCTGAAGCCACGTCACTAGCCAGGCCCCCTCCTGGATTCCGCATGCATGTTTACAACTGAGCATTGAGCATCTCACCTACATGTGTTCAGGAATCTTATACTTAAGATGTCCCAGAGGACCTTCATTATCTTGCCCTAAAGACCTTTTCCTTTATTACCTCTCTTGGTTAGTGTAGATCACCATTATTGCATTTACTTGCCTGAACTAGAATCACAGAAGTTTCCTAGACCTGTTTATCTCCCTCATTAAGCCCTGTTGATTTTATCTCCTACAACATCATGAATGTTTTCCCTCCACTTCACCCCACCACCACTGCCTTAATTTGTGGTATCATCAAATTTCATCTCATCATTGTGATGGTCTCATAATTGGTTTCAATAGAACAAAATATTGCACGCATAAAAATTTCCAGTCTTATGGCACAAATTATAGCGAAAAGTAGTACTAAGTTTAAATATAAAAAAGTAAGTTAGATCTTTCAGGATGTTGGTTATTAATTATTTTGTGAATTAACATTACCTTCCTCACTCACTCACAGATTAGTGGTTAAGAAAAATAACTTAAGGTGCTTTAAGAAACACAGTCTTGCCCTGGCTGGTGTGGCTCAGTTGGTTGAGCACTGTCCTGTACACTGAAAGGTCACCAGTTCAATTCCTGGACCCAGACTGTATGGGAGGCAACTGATCAACGTTTTCTCTCTCACACTGATATTTCTCTCTGTTTCCCCCTCCCTCCCTCCCTCACTGTCTAAAACCAATTGTGTGTGTGTGTGTGTGTGCGTGCGTGCGCACGTGTGTATAAAAGAAGCACAGTCTTTAGTAACTCTACCCATATAAAGATTTTTATTATTTTTGATACCAGGCTACGTGATGTTTACTTCATTTCAGAGATTAGTGGTTGGGTGCTACTTAGTTCATTCAGCAAACATATCTTGAGTGCCTACTATGTGTGAGGCACTGAGGAGCTCAGGTGCACTCCAGTAGGTAGTAACCCTTAACAAACACGGTGTTGAGAGGCAGTTGGCACATTCAGGGAATGACTCAGCGTCCAACACCATCAACCAAAAACCAAACAGATTGGTAGAGGATGGCGCTTTATGGAATAACAGGTAAATTAGAGAGAGGTATTTGGAGACTCCAAACTGCTAGGAAAAATAAAACAATCGAAGCACATGCCAAAACTTGGAAATTATTGTCTTGCAGTAAAGATCAATTAAAAATGGAAGGATAATGAAGCACCACTGACTGCAGTTTCTTCTTCAAAAGTATCTGATATCAAACTGTCTAGAGTGTCTGTCACTAGCCTAGCATGTGATTCACCCCTCTTTGTGAAGCAATAGCTGGGAATGGTTACCTTTAGCCCAGTAGAATTTCTGAGACTTTGATTCCAGCTCTTGATGCAGTATTTTATCATCACTCTGCCTCTTCTTCCCCCAGGGATTTGTTATAAGAATGTTTCAAGAGCTTTCCTTCAATAATAACCAGCACTTAATTAAAAAAAAAAAAAAAAGTAAATCTTACATCTGCTGCTGGCCATTTTGTCTTTGGATAATTCAGTTGGATGAGATCCAATACTATTTTTTTTAACGGCCTAATTTCCTGGCAATAATAAAGACGAAGCTTTTAGATTATAGAATGATTCTTCAACTACTCAGAAATAAAAGGGAAACTTCTAATAACTTCATTTTTCGCAGTTACATTCTTATCACTGGAAATAGTGTTAAGCTCTTATGCATATTTTTAAAAGCCTTTTATGAATAGTGATGAGTGGTTATATTTCGATTTTGTGTAATAACTCCTTTCCATACCTTTGCACTACTAATCTATCAGTAGTCATGTGTGACATAATAATAGTAAGCTTATTCTTGTCTAGCACAGTTTACAGAGTGTACTCTGTAGTATGTTTTTTAATCATCCCAATGTTATTCTTTTATTTATCAACCAATATTTATTAAACATCTAATAAATGTCATGCACAGTGGTATATCAATGCTATAAGCTAGGCATTATTATTATAACTCTGTTTTATAAATGAGAAAACCAAGACTCAAGGGAAGCTAAGTAATTTACCTAAGGTCACACATGTAAGAGAGAATATCACATATTGGTAAAGAGTATAAATTTTGGAGCCAGATTGCTGAGATTTAATCCTGGCTCTGCCATTTACTAGCTGTGTGACCTTGGTAAGTGTCTTAACCTCTCTGTGTCCCAGTTCCTTCATCTATAAGATAAGGATATTACAGTACCTATCTCATAGGTTGAAGTACTTACAGCAGCACCTAGCACCTATGAGTGTTCTATAAGTGTGGTTATTATTAATTAGTACAAATAGACTGTGGCCCAAGGAGTTGAACCAGATCCTCTGGCTCCACATTTGTTGTTTCCTATCATACTATACTGCTTTTATAATATGATATAAAATGTTTATCTCTTTATAGCCTGAGATTTATTTTTTAATTTAATTTAGTGGGGTTACACTGACTAATAAAATTATATAGGTTTAAGGAGTACAATTCTATATAGCCTGAAATTTAAATTCAAACTCTGAAGAATATGTAGTACATTTTTTAATAACTATAATTATTAGTTCATAATCATAGGCAATCATATGGGAAAATGTATGGATGATCCACTGTTCTCTGTCCATCACTATAGAATAGCAAATTAAAAGTCTGGCAGAGAACAAACCACTACATCTGGTTGTGGGCAACAGCACCTTAACGACAGAATATGATCCCCATAAGGAAATGTTTATGTTAGAGGAAAATAATTCCTTCAGACCAGTGTACCCTGTAATATCGAGCGGAGGCTTCCTGATGTTTGCTGTCATCAAGACAGACCAAACAGCCTGAAGCATCCTGGGGATGCTTGCTTTCACCCTAGGAGACTTTCATTCTTTGAGTCTTTGAGCCAGAAATAAGGGCAAGTGTCTCCAAACTGCATTTAGATGCAAGAGGCAGTGTCATCTAATTCCCATGCGTGGTTCTAAGTCTTGGCTGCTCATTAGAACCACCAGAGGAGCTTGTAAAAATTCCCATGGAAAGGGCACACCCCCAGACCAATTCCATCAAGATCTCTGGGGGCAAGACCAGGCAGCAGTAGCTTTTAAAGCTCCCAGATGATTACAATGTGCAACCAAGTTTGGAAAGGCTCTAGCGGGAAGAGCATGATGTCAGCATATCGAGACTCCTTAGCCCTGTGCTAGTTGGCTACATACAGTTAAGTGAATTTAGGTTGGACATTTAACACTTTGTACCTCATTTCTCATTTCTATTCATTGACAAAAATGTGCCACTCTTATTTTAAGTTGCTCTATGGTTGGTATGAGATAATATATGTGAAGATAAAACCAGCTAAGGCAAATTGGTGCTATTACATTTTTTTGGACATTGCTAGTCCCATTAGTGGGAATTTTTTTTTTTTTTTTTTAATCAACCTATATGAATGTTGGACAAGAGGTGTGTCGTGGCAAAAACAGAGCAGGAGTGATTCCTGGTAATCCTTGGAAGGGAAGGAAGGAGAACCATGTTATGGAGTCAATAGAGGATGATTTCCTACCACAGACTATAAGACTGCGGCAAAGGCAAGATCCGGGGTGATGGGGAGTTTCAACTCCAAGAACTTGTGACAGGATTTTACTGGCCCTGTCTTCTTGCTCACTCTCCTGTGCCCCACGCGCTCTCTCTTTCCTGGTCTTCATTCTCCCAGTACTCCTCTCCAGGCAACACTGTTTATTGGGCATCTGCTATCTCTAGGCAGCCGACTGTGTGCTGGAGACGGGAAGATAAGGATCAGGATAAGCATTGTGAGGAGTTTACAGTCAAGTGGTCGGAGACAGATACGTGAAAAATTATAGGGATAAAGTAGGAAGTGTTGAAAGATTGTAAAAATGCTGTTACTTTTTCAAAAATCTCTCAGATAGTAAAGAAAGTAATAAAGAAAATAAGTCAGTGTGATATCCAATGAATGGTACTGGTCAGGAAAAATGACCATGCCATTTCGGGTTTCATCATATATAAGAAAGAGACTGCCGTACATATTCAAATAGAAAATGTAGGAAAGGCAAGTTCAAAAAATTAAGGGACGATATAAATTATGCTTGATTAGAAACTTCAGATTTTTGTCTGACTTATAATAGTCCCAATGGGAAGACATTACTCAACCTTTTGTTTGTTCATCTGTAAAGTGGGTATTGTAATGGTAACCACTGCATTCGTACTTTACAAGTGCCCAGCATTTAGTAAGAACTCTATTAATATTAGTTACTATAATCATCCGAAGGAAATAATGAGACCTCACTAAGAACTCTTGGGAGCTCAGATTTCCTTTTTTAGTAGAAGAGAGGAGTATATATCCAAATACCAATAAAAACAGTATTAATAAAATCTATAAGAATATGTATATGTGCTTGTGTATGTTTGAAGCAAGAAAAGAAATTCAAGGATAGGAACATTGCTAGTGAAAATCATATAATATTAATAGAAGAAAACTATTCAGTTTAGATGTGTTTTTTTCATCAATGACAAATTTCATCAGGCAAGAAAGAAGTACCAGATACCAGCAAGACTGGTTGAAACATCTAGTTGGTTAAATAGTTCAAGACTGTAAACCTAGGACAATTTTTAAAAAATGGAGATGAAAGATGATAGATAGATAGATAGATAGATAGATAGATAGATAGATAGACAGACAGACAGACAGATAGATAATGTATATATGTGTATTTGATCTGGCTTAATCACATTTCATGTAAAAACTACCAGTGCCTTAAGCATAATAGATGTCGATAAATTTTATGTGAATTTGAAGGCATAAGTTTTATAATTAACCACAAACGTATGAGCCAGTGGTGTAATGTGATTTCCAGAAAATACTAATGCAGATCCGAGGTGACTGATAGAAGTGTAGCACACAGACTGAGGGAGGTAGCAAGTCAGTTGCATCTTTGCTACTCAAATGAAACCAAGATCCTGAGCCAGTTCTGGATACAAACTTGAATAGGAACATCAACAAATTTCATTGCCAGGATGGTAAGGATGGTTGGGTATCTAGAAAATCATGTCTTAAGAAACACTTGTAGGAACTGAGGCTGCCCTGAGAGCAATGTCCAAATATTAGAAGAGCTCTCTCCCATGGGGAGGAACAAACTCACTCAGTACTGCTCCAGAGGTCAGAACTAGGACCGGTGGAAACTCGGCACTCAGACTAAGGAAGGACACCGTGACCTACTGTCTGTCGATGGAGCAGGCAGTCCCCCAGCAACGAAGAGGAGAGCCTTTTGTTGTCGGCAAAGGATTCATTTACAGACTGGATGATCATCTGTTGCATATTCTTTGGGAAAGGCCAAGACCTGTAATGTCACTTCGAACACCAAGATTTTACTTTTGCTACTTGAAGTGCTAAGTTAGAGTTTTGTTAAACTATGGTGTCTGTAGTTTCTGTAGGAGTTATTTTAACACCCTCTTCATCACTATAAATGATACATAAACAAATGTCATTATAATGAAAAGTTTTGAAGTCACAATCTACTTATTTCAAACTATTCAATATTACCAAGTTCAAATAAAAGGAAGAATTATGGAAAGTGAGCATTATCACATGACTTGAAGTATATAGTGTACATTGTTGCTACATATCAACTTAATGAGAGGTGGATTATTTTAAACTTTGAACTGTTATTAAAGAATGCATACATAGCTCCTTTTCTGTACTCTCATTTCAGTGCTTGAAGATCCAAGTTTTATTGGACAGTATCATAAATGGAAGAAAATGGAGCTAAAACATCAGAAAGAATGGAATTTAAAGTAAGTAATTTGAAGGGTCTGGAATATATTATTCTATTAACTTGAAAATATTGGCTATTCCACTTTCTACTATCTAACTGAACCATCAGAAGAAACCCTTTGGAAAGAACTTATACTTTTCTCTAAACATAACAAAAATAAGAAATATCATTTTTTTCCCTTTCATATGAATCCGGGTGGGAAACATCTTTGCTACGTATCGGCTGCCAAAAAACGGATATAGGACCTGAGCCATGGTGCAGGATTCTCACAGTACCCTCCCTGTTAATTCCCATTCCCATTCCCCTTATCAACATGATTTAGAAATAGGGAAAAATCCCATCCTGTTTATGTATCATCAGATAGCTTTCCATCCTTCTCATAGTTCCAAATATTTTTCCTCTGCCACTGATTTCTCACTCAGGAAGCAAATATATCACATCTAATGAGGAAGTCTATAGTAAAATACAGAAATAAATGAAAGTATCTAGAGAAATCGTTGGCTCTCAGACTGCATTAAGGAAGGGGTCTCCATCGCACCTGGGGCTCGGCTTCTAAAGGCGGTGGTTTTGCTTCGTGGTGCTGGAGCAGAGACTTCATCTCAGCCCGGCGAGGTTGCAGTAGCCATTCATCCTGGTGGGTTTATTTCAGAGTACTGAGTGTGCTTGCTACCACCAAGCTCGGGGAGTGAAAGATCCCACTTTATTTGCATTTACCTCATTTTTTTTTTTTTTTAGCTCTTTGACTTGTTAGCAACGCGACATCTTTTCTAGGTGGAAATACAAAGTTAGTAAACATAATGTGCAGTATGTTGAATTTGTGGAGGAGCTGAGGTTCTTAAAATATACTTTTCTACCCTTTCACGGCAGAGTTCAGGTTGGGTTTCTCAGCAGGATATTCTTTTTCCAGTTGACTCCTGCAACAGCTCCTCCCGTGAGCCTAAGTGGAGAAAAGCATTCAGTGCTTTTCTGCGTTCAGAATAAATTACAGGCAGTAGAAAAGTTTTTATTAAGCAGAATTTGAAATGCACGTGTGGTGTTTTTCTTGAAGGCACGTTTTAAGTTTCATTTAGAGCTAGAGAAACATACTTAGAACATAAGGTTAATTTCTCTGTGGCTTCCTTTTTTATTTCCTGTAGCAGCCCTGCGTTGTTTTATTTGTTTGATCACGCGTTCGTTATGTAATGCCAGCATCCCACAGAACCCCCACATTTAGAAAAAGTAGGACCATGTCATTTTCAACTTATCCATCCACTTCTACATATGGCTGAAATAATTGCGAGCTGTTTGAGTGCTAGAACATTTTTCCAAATACATTATTTTGAAGTTACAGGTCAAATTATCATGTGTGTGGTGACCCTGTCAGAATAAAACTCTCACACCTTATGCCATCTGGTGGCTGATGAGAATATATTTAGATCAGATGATATTTGCTGCTTTCTGTTTTGGAGATGATTAATTAAAAAAAAAAAATACTAAATAAGGTTTTTAAAAGATATATTACCTTTATCTGTATAATTTTATTGTGGCATAAATATTTGAGTATGCAAAAAATCTAAAGTATGGTGGAATCAGCTTCTTTTCAGATAATCATTAAGAGTCTCATATTCATCAAAATACATGAGGTACAATAAAGTGATCAGTTCATAGAGACTTAAGTAGAAAATGTTTGGGCATCTATGCAAGTGAGTAACTGGTCCATACGTCCATGCAGGACCATACCACCATGCATCTTTCTGTTTTTGTTTGAAAATGCTTTTCTTACATTGGAATTTCCTATTAAAAACAAAACAGAAAATGCAAATTGAGACTCTTTCATCTGTACAGCATTAAGGAAAAAGAGAGGCCTATCTTTCCTGCCTCTTAGCCCTCCTCCTACTGTCCTCCCATCCCCTCATCAATCAAGACCCAATTCTTAAGCCACACTAAATTCTCTTTCCTATTATTTGGGGACATAAGATCTTTTCACCACTTTGTGCCTTCTGCCTGGGATGTCTTGCCCAGCTGGGTCCTTGCTGGTGGTCTAGAGTTAGGATCTGGTCTGAGTGAAAAAGCGGAGTGTGGAGTGCTTCAGTGCAGGGGTGCTGGAGCCAGACTGCCTGGATTGGATCCTGGCGCTGCCAGCTACCCGCTCTGGGACCTTGGGCAAGTTATCTGAATTCTTTGTGCCTCAGTTTCCTTCTCTGTTAAATGGCAGTAATTACTGTACCTACTACCTCCCATGGAGACTGTGAAGATGAATTAATATATGTAAAATGCTTCAAACTGTATCTGGAACATAGTTAAGTACTCATAGGTTCTCTCTTATTTATGCTCTTCCTACTGTGGCCCTGGTTTCCGATTTCGGATGGGAAATCTCTAGAGGCAGCATGGGGAAACACGGGCTTTAGAGTCAGACAGATCGGGGAGAAATTCTTCCCACAGTGAGCTTGTTTCCTTATCTGCTCGATACAGATGACGTGACCTACCTTGCGAAGTTGTTTTGCATTTGATCTCTTGAATGAGATCATCTATATAAAATCATGCAGTGTTGACATATGTACATTCAATAAATATTAGTTCCTGGGATGGGGATGGGGAAGGGGTGATAAAAGCCCATGCCCACCAGCTTTTCAAATAAAAATAGTCTGTCAGAAACATGTAGAAATTGTAAAATTTTCTCAGGTTAGGAAAGGATACCTGTCACGACCACCTTTATTTTAGTCCCATTATATGTACAGTTTTTCGTGTGTTTTTTGTTTGTTTGTTGTTTCCCTTTCCCACTTCACCTTCTCTTCTGCCTGGCAAAATATTTCACAAACATGGCGCAAAGATCCAGCTCAGTCGTCTCTTGGTGAGAGGGTCCCTGGCATCCTCTCCCTCCGAGGCACTCTGTCCCTAGCTCTTTCAGCCCTGGCAGCGTGGGCGTGGGGTGGCATCTCAAGAAGAGAGACCAGGGCAGGGCGATCCTGGAGCTTCATATTCCCTGAACTTCGCACAGTACCTGGCCAGCTACTAGGCGCTCGGCTCGGTTGGTGTCTGTGCAATGACGCACACTTAATGTGTACCTTGTTTCCTCACTCAAGGGGATTAAATGTGAGGACAGTTAATTTTCAGAGAAATAAAATGTAGGTGCTGACTTCTATGAAGGCCCATTCTAATGCAGAGGTTTTGCTTCTACTTAGGGAACTCTAAGGATGCAGTCATAGACGAGTGATTGAAAACTGGAAATATAAATGACTGTCATGAATATTTTATGCAAATTCTTAAGTTCCACACACGTTTTTAGTTAGTATTAATAGGAACCCATTGTCATTACTAGCAGCTCGTACATATTCATGAACCGATCATTTGGTTTGGTGCTCATTGCTAAGGGTTTTTGTTTTTTCTTTCCTATTGCCTTGTCTGTCTTTTGGTTAGCCGTGCAGATGCTTTATTCCATCCAAGACATGAGAAGAATATGAACCTAGAATCTAATCAGTAGCTCATATTAATTTTTCCTGGAGAAATAGTGAAAGACAAAATCAGAAAGTAATGCAAGCTGTTTTTTTGAATTTTACTTATGCACATATAAAACTACTTTTATGTCATGATCTACAGCTAATGATCGCTTATGTGGTAATGGAAAGATTTATACCGGTAGTATAAGCTTTGTCAGCCAGAAAGTTATCTAAATAAAAGTGATCGATTCTGGAGAAGTTTTACATTCTGTGTAGCTTAGAAAAGAATATTGCTCATGTTCATCCATAAGGAGGTACAGAGGGAACAGGAACTAACATGGTAAAGCACCTACTGTGTGCTGGGTATTCTCCCTTTGTTTACTAATGTAATACATACTGGTCATGCTGTGGAGTTGACAGTTATACCTCTATGTGTACACACATATCTCTAAGTGTAACTCCCATCATATCCATCAGCCTTCTTCAAAGCCTACACTCCAAGTCAAAGCACTTTCTTTGTTATACAGTCACAGTTTAAGATAAGGTTCTTAGCCTCTCTTTTCAACTGATCTGTCACCCCTGCATTTTCTCTACAGAAGTTCTGTGAAAATAGAGGCAGCTCTTATATGTAGTTTATTAATGAGGGAAACATGAGGCACAAAGAGATTAACCAACGTGCCAGAAGTTATTGATAAGCACATATTTAAAAACAAAAAGTAAATTATTTCCATCTGCCTTTTAATATGTGCTTATTTAAAAACTTAACATTTTCAGCCCTAGCCGGTTTAGTTCAGTGGTTAGAGTGTCAGCCCTTGAACTGAAGGATCTTGGGTTCAGTTCTGGTCAAGGGCATGTACTTTGGTTGCAGGCTTCATCCCCTGCCCTGGTTGGAGCGCGTGCAGGGGACAGACAATCGATGTCTCTCTCACATCGATGTTTCTCTCTCTCCCTTCTACTCTCTCTGAAAAGCAATGGAAAAAATATCCTCAGAAGTGGATTAAAAAAAAAAGCTTAAAATTTCAGGTAAGTATAAAAATGTTGCTTACCCAATTACAAGCACAAATCGAGTCTACCTTCTATGAAAAAGTTTTGTGAGGTGTTTTGTTTTGTTTTGTTTTGGGTCAATCTCACCATCTATTATTAAACAATATTACTTCCTTTCTCCTATATATAAAAAATTAACATGTACTATAACAAATACCAGCATAAAACTTCCTTATATTTATAAAATATACTCTAGACTTAGTTTTACTATTTTCTAAATTAAGGATGTAATGTATATTATTTCTAAGTTCCTGCAGTATCTGACTCTGTTTCAACGTACAAAAATATGTGATCTTCCTTTAGCATAACTATGTTTGATTCCCTTTTCTGCAGTTATATAGAAAACATTTATCCTGAGTACATTAATTTAAGGTATGTTTGTGCTATTTGTGCTGTTCTCTGAAGAGTTATTGACCTTAAACATTGTTTTGATAGGTTTGAATAATTATATATTTAATGCATTTTTATAGCTTCAACATGCATTTTTCAAAAAAAATTCTCTTTATTGTTGAAAGTGTTACAGATGTCCCCTTTCTTCCCCATTGACCCCTTTCTACCCCACACTGCCTCCCCACCACCACCTCCCGCCCCTAATGTATTTTTAAGAAGGCTAGCTTTTTTATTCCCCAAACCTTGAGTGCCATCTAGTGGTTAAAAAGAGAATTGGCATTAGAATGAGCATTGGAAGTGATCCCCTGAAAATAATAGACATGGAAAAAATATAGACAAAGGGGAAGAATCTCTTCTTAAAAATAAAATAATTTCTTCCAAGCAACTGCTTAGTCTCTGCTTGGATGTTTTTAGAGAAAAGTTCAGCACTTCAGGAAGCATTCAAATAGCTCACATCCTCCTTATTTTTAGCTTAAATGTAACACCTTATGATCCTCAGCCATCCAGGTTTCTTTCATATATAAGATTTTCACTGAACACCTACTATGTACTTTTACATTTGCCTGCAAAACATCCAGAAAATAAGAAACTATTTCCATTTTATAAGGAAGGAGTACAGAAATTGTGTGTGTGTGTATTAAATTCCTTAAGATTACACACTCAGTGACAGAGCTGAAATTAAAATATACACTACCAGATGCTACAATCCACACATTTTTTTATTAGATCCAGCATCAGCTCAGACACTGAAAACCCAGGAATGTTTTTGGATATGGGTAAAAGACATGATTCAAGGGACACTGTTATGGGGG